CTTCCAGCTCTAAAATTCAATGATCCTGTTAGTCACTGCTAGGCCTCCTTCCTGCCCTCCTTCTAGGCTCATAATCTTGACTAATCAGTCATGAGGATGAGGCTAATTAGCAATGGGGATTTATGGTTATTCCTAGCCCACTCCAAACAGTGAGTTATGTAAGCAAAGCAACGTATATAAAAATGTAAATAAAATTAGAGAAACACTTAAGCAAATAAAGACAATTGGGAACTATGGGCTATGTAAACAAACTAGAACATAAAAACATAAATTAGAATTAAGAAAACACTTAAGCAAATGCCAGCAATTAGGAATAAAACAAACTTGTTAAATGCCTAACATGTACAGCTAGGTTATGGCACACACCCTCTAAATCGGTGGTCATTTGGTGGTATGGAAAATTGATACTTCTGCAGTGAAATCATAGTGGCCTTTTGCTTAGGAGGCGTCCCGTTTGATTATTATTAATATGATAAGCAATAAGCCTCAGTAGCTCCTAGCAGGGCTTCCTTCACAGGCTCACTGGCAACTGTAGTTGAAGTAAAGTATAAATCTTTTCTTAAGATTATTATTATTTTATGTGTGTGGGTGTTTTGTCTGCATGTATGTCTGCTCAGCACATGCATGCCTGGTGTCCACGGAAGCCAAGAGCGCATCAGATTCCCTTGGGGACAACTTTTAGCTGCCTTGTGGATGCCAGGAATCAAAACAGGTCCTTTGGAAGAGCAGCCAAGACTGACCAACCACTGAGCCATCTCTAGCCAGCTTCGCCCCGCTTCCTCTTTCTCCCCTCCCCACCTCTCTCTTGCTGTTGCTGCTGCTGTGGATGTTGTCTGTTTTGATTTTTGACATAGGACATTATGTATATTTTGGACTGGCTTGAATTCATTATGTAGCTAAGGATGACCCTGATCTTCCTGCCGCTACCATTCAGAATGCTAATATTACGACATATATATACCTGTGTTATGTTCTGTTAGGGATGGAACCAGGCATTATGCATGCTAAGCAAGCCTTCTACCAGCTGAGCTACACCCTGGCCCCTGGTATTGGAGGTTCCCTTATCTCTGCTTAGTAACGTGAGTCATAGCCATCTATGCCTTCACAGATTAATAGAATAGACCCTCCCTAAGTGCCTAAATCTATCTTTGCTATTTCTAAAGTGGTGATTACTTTAAAAGTCAAGGAAAATGTAATTTACTTTTGGCAAGTGGACATTCTTGTAACATTAACAGTGACAAAGTGGTGTTAAGGGCAAGGTATTTTAAGATGTGACTTCAATATATAACTGGTTTGGTTTAAAGAAGAAAAAAAATAGAACTTAGCTTGCTAAGGAAAAAAATTACATTTTCTTCGTGGTGTATGCATATAAAATATCTTCAAGCTGGTCAGCCCATGTGCCTTGTAAAGTCCAAAGTAGGACTTCATGTGTCCTGCTCTGTTATTCTCCACTTTATTCCTCTGAGGCAGGGCCCCTCACAGAACCTGGAGCTACACTGGTGGCCAGCCATCTCCAGAGCTCTTTCTCCACTCACAACAATCCTGTGGCTGCAGGAACTCTCATACCATGCTTGACTCTTTACATGGGTTCTGGATGTTTGAACGGAGGTCCTCATGCTTGCCCCAATAAGGACTCTTGCTTACTATACCATCTCCCCAAACCCAGTTGGATTTTCTCTACTCTAAACTTGCTTTTCAAACTGTCATCAAATCCTTATACCCATCGCCACCTTCTTAGTGCTGGGATTAAAGGTGTAGGACTCCCAAGTACCAGGGATTAAAGGTGTGAGCCACCACTGCCTGGCCTTTAGTGGTTTAGCTCTGCACTCTGGTCTTCAGGCAAACTTTATTTGTTAAAACACAAACAAAATATCACTACACTTCTAACCCTCATAATCACAGCTGATTGTAAGGGAAGCACTTGACAAGTCACAACTGAAGGATGGCCTACAAAATATTTGACCTTGAAACTGTCAAGCTCATCAAAAACAAAGAGTATGAAAAACTGTCACAAACAAGAATAGTCTAAGGAAATCTAATGACAAGATCTTATCTTATATCCAGGATGGAATCTGGAATAGGAAAATATAACAGATTTTTAAAAAAAAACAGAAGCAGTAAACTATGAAATTTATCTAAAAGCAAAGGTAGCTGTTCTAGTTAGCATGAACTGCCAACTTGGTACAGCAAAGAGTCACCTGAGCAATAGCTTCCACTGAAGAATTGCCTAGATTAATCTATGGGCATGGCTGTGAGGGACTGTCTTGATTAATGTCTATAGGGGGACCTGCTCATGCGGGCAGTGACTTCCTGAGCTAGGTGATCCTGGGCTGTATAAGAAAGCTGGCTAAGCTTGAGCCAAGCAGTGTTCCTCTGTAGTTTCTGCTTCTGGTTAGAGCTTGAGTTTCCATCCAGACTTCTCCTAATGACTGACTATAACCTGTAAGATGAAATAAGCCCTTCCCTCCGCTAAGTTGCTTAGAGTCAGAGTGATTTGTCACAACAACAGAATGAAACTAGGATGGTACCATATTAACATGAGAGAGAAACAGAGAAGCCCTGTATTAGCTTCTCATTTTTTCCCGGCAAATACTTTATAGGGATAAATAAATGCAAGAAAACATTTGCAAAAAATAGTCATAAAGCTGGGTGTGGTTCTCAGGGCTATCATCCCAGTAAATAAGAGAGGGAGGCAGGAAGATCAAGCTCATTGTCAGCTAGTGAGCTCAAGGCAATCCTGGGCTCTCTGAGTCCCAGGGGCTAGCTAGTTGGTTCAGCAGGTAAAGGGCTTGCTGCCAAGCCTGACGGTCTGAGTTCGATTCCAATAACCTACATGGTGGAAGAAAAGAACTGATTCTGGCAAGTGGCATACATGCGATAGCAGGCACCCCACACAATCTACACACATGTTAAATAAAATAATTATTGAGTTTTAAAGTCAAACAAAAATAAGTAAAATTGCCAGTAGTGGTGGTGCACACCTTAATCCCAGCACTAAGGAGGCAGAGGTGGATGGATCTCTGAGTGCTCGAGGCCAGCCTGGCTTACAAAGTGAGTTCCAAGACTGCAAGGGCTGTAGAGAGAGACCCAGTCTCAAAAAAAAAAAAAAAAAAAAAAAAAAAAAAAAAAAAAAAAAACAGAAACAAAATGAAAAAACATACAGCACAGCAAAAAAGAGCAAAAATCAAACACAATATGCAAGAATGGGAGATAGGGAGAACCCAGTTGTCTGGAGATTTTGCTGAGCATCCACATCAAACCACTGAATCTCCAAGGAATGACAGACATGATTTCAGCTCCTATGGGAAAACTTCTGTATAGAGAGTTTTCTGGTATTTGTGGATAGATGATAGAGGCACTGTAGGAGGGAAGGAAATGAAAGAGGGAGAGAGAAAGAAAATAAGCACCATGCCTGGCTCATATTGGGGGGGAAACATTGTATGGGAGGTTTCTTTGTTTGTTTGTTGAGCACAGTGGTGGTGTGGGAGGTCCTCCTGTATTTGTGTTGCTTTCGTTGGTCAATAAAGAAAGAAACTCAGGACTGCGAGGGGTGCACCCACACACTGAGACAATGGAGATGCTCTATCTGGAACTCACCAAGGCCAGCTGACCTGGGTCTGAAAAAGCCTGGGTTAAAACCGGTCTCACTGAACATAGCGGACAATGAGGACTACTGAGACATCAAGAACAATGGCAATGGGTTTTTGATCCTACTGCATGTA